AAACTTTGAACTTCATTCAATTTCCACTGGAATTTGAAATTCATGGCTTTGTCCCCCTAAACCGTTAACGTCAAATTTTAATTTCTCCAAACCGATCTCTCCACAAATAAACGCTTCGTTCAAACACCGAACAACCGATTCGCCATAAAACCAAAAAAAAAACAATTTCCTGAAACCGACGTCACCATCCGGAAGTCCCCCTCACCCTCCAGCCCCTTCACCATTTACCCTCGTTAATTTTTCATAAAAATGATTCCTCCGGGGAGAGAGATGACTCAGCTAGTGCTAGAAAGCTGAGGGCGAATTACATGGAAATTAACAAAAAATTAGGAAAATTCTAGTGAATTTATTTTTGAATTCTCAACCAATTAAAAATTCTCGTTGTCTCCGGCTCCAAAATTTTGAGCTTCATTCAATTTCCCTTGAAATCTGAAATTCATGACTTGGTCCCCCTAAACCGTCAACGTCCCTCTCCCGAAAATGACTCCACTGTCCCCCAAATTTTAATTTTTCTAAAACAGTCTAAACTAATGAATGAAAAATAAGCCTCCCCCAAATAAACTCTCATAAAACCAAAGAAAAGCAATTTCTTGGAGCCGACGTCACCATCCGGATGTCCCCCTCACCCTCCAGCCCCTTCACCCTTTACCCTCATTAATTTTCCATAAAAATGATTCCACCGGGGGAGAAATGACTCAGTGAGTGCTAGAAAGATGAGGGCGAATTACATGGAAATGAACAAAAAATTAGGAAAATTCCAGTGAATATATTTTTTAATTCTCAACCAATTAAAAATTCTCGTTTTCTCCTGCTCCAATTTTTTTTTGAATGCAGTGAACTTCATTCAATTTCCACTCAAATCTGAAATTCATGACTTTGTCCCCCTGAACCGTCAACGTCCCTCCCCCGAAAATGACTCCACTGTCCCCCAAATGTCAATTTTCCCAAAACAGTCTAAACAATATTCTGAATAATAAAAAAAAAAAAGTCTAAACCAATGAATAAAAAATAAGCCTTCCCAAATACTCTCATAAAACAAAAAAAAAACAATTTCTTGGAGCCGACGTCACCATCCGGATGCCCCTCACCCTCCAGCCCCTTCACCCTTTACCCTCGTTAATTTTCCATAAAAATGATTCCACCGGGGGGAGATGACTCAGGGAGTGGTAGAAACATGGGGGCGAAGAGCGAAAAAAGAAAAGCATTTAGAACTGTAACCTACATTATTCACGCGACAACGAGAGGGGGGCGGCGGGAGGGGGGCAATGAACCCTCGATGCCATGTATGCGAGAGAACTAATCACGATGCAGAAGAGTGCATTGCATATAAATTCATTGATTTATCCGTCGCAGATGTACGTGTGCCACCGATAATTCCGTGGGCATATTTGTCGGAGCGGAATAAATAAAATAGTAACTTGCGAAAAAAAATCATCAGTTTCCCCGCCTAATTTAACTACTTTATTTTACTTTATTTTTTTTTATTTATCCGTCGCAGATGTACGTGTGCCACCGATAATTCCGTGAGCATATTTGTCGGAGCGGAATAAGTAAAATAATAACTTGCGAAAAAAAATCATCAGTTTCCCCGATAATTTAACTATTTTATTTTACTTTAGTTCATTCTATTTTATTGGATTCTGTTGTACTCACCGCAATGCAGTGAACTCCACGGGAGAAACATGCAGGGCTTCCCTCCGTCGTGGATAACGTGAAACGGGGGTTGAATGGGGGCTGTCCGTGACCAGAAGCACCGCATTACCAAATGCCAAAAAATATTCACCCTGTCTATATCACCGTATCAGGCATCAGACGCATCAACACTTGTTGTGGCACTCGTTAATCCAAACACTGACACTGTTACGCACTCGGAGTCATCGTGATTGGATTTTTACGGGGGCTTTTTCAACACATTTTATTGGGCTTTATCGCGAGACGGTCTTACGGTACACGCAGGGCCCCACCAAATCGATGTGTGGATGGTTACACACTTCCCAGCTGTCTTTTCCCTTTTATTCTTTCTCACTGCGCCGACACCGTGCGGCAAGCGTGCCGCCATCTTGCGGGGGGATGGCGGACGCCATTGGTGCAGGACGCTCGGCTCATTGATTGGGCGAGGGCTGCAACGCGCGGGAGGATTTGAATGCTTTGGCGCCGGGGGGGGGGG